GTAAGGCACTTGTTCCTAGTAGCTTCTTGTTACTACTAGTAAGGCACCTGTTACTACTAGTGTGGCACTTGTTACTAGTCTAGTAGTAACAATGTTGATTCTTTTCACAAAACAGAAACGACTGCAGCCTCCAGTTCCCCCCCTCTGCCAGGTGTATACCTTCGCCGCCTGTTGTTGAAAAAGCCACGGCACCGGCGCGTGGGCACGGCGCGGCACGGGGGGGTTCGTGTTCTCTCTTCCTTGGACCGACAGAGTCTGGCGAGAGAGAGCCAATCTGCAGTCCACCATCAACCAGTCCACTCAGAAGATGGAAGTGGAAGTTGGGGACCTCCCAACCCGGAAGTGGGGGGCGTCGTTGCGACGAAAAAACGGGGGGGAATTCATGCAGCTGTCGGAGTCCAAGACTGTGGGTGGAATGAAATCAGAGCTTTAGAACCTGAGGACGGAGCGCCACTCAAACCTTCCCCTCCCCACTTCTTAGAACCAGGACCGGTCTCGATCGGTCAGGAGATCTCCGTCTTAGAGTCGAAGTTGAACCTTCTCCGTGCGGACGGTGCGCACAAGGCTGGAATCGCACAGGGTATGACAGGGTATGACAGGATACCCGGGGGTTGGTGTTCCCTCGGTTGATGGGAGGCACCCGGTGTTTTGGGGGGTGCTTTTTTGACTGAAGGAAGGGTTTGGCGAAGTGTTTTGAGGTGGTCTCCATGCTGTAGGCACCATGGCGTTTCTGGGAGCTTTTCATCTTTCTATGCAAGCTCGGACTCTTTTGTACATTCCCCGTCGTAGATGATGAGCCCTTGGAAGTCTACAGAACTCAGCATCGTAGTTTTGCATGCACTTGTCCCTTTGCTATACCAACACAGGTCTGTCCGCAATGTCCATTTGTGGCATCTAATAGCCTGCTTGGTAGTCTTCCATTGCCAACAGGTCACAAAACGCCAGAAAACATATTGCACCGTTGGTTCAGCGGGCCTGAGTGTTTGGTTGCGCTGGCTCCCTACACCACCAGTTCTAC